ATCAGCGAAGTTCCACCAAGTCATTCCACCTTTGCTTAGTACCAACGATGCCTTCATTACAGCGGAGTCAATCTAAGCAGAAATGTTAAATTCGTTCTTTGCCAAACATTTCACAATCGAAACTGACCCAATCCCTTTATTTCCTCCGTTTTCTAATGCCTCTCTCAGCATCATTAGTTTTTCTCCTAAAACTATTTTAAAACTAATAAACCATCTTCCTGACTCTCACTCAGTAGGCACGGACAATATCCCAAACTCACCTATAAACCAGCTACGAGATTTTTCTCCTCTGTTTAGCAAATTTTTTACAGTATTCCTCGTAAATGACTTCTTTCCTGACTATAAGCAAACTTCTATTATTATTCCTGTATTTAAGTCTGGCTGTCGTTCTGAAGTTCAGAACTATCGAGGTGTCCATACAACACCTTCTCTCGCCAAAACCTTTGAAAAAATTATTGTCTTGAAAATTACCGACTTTTGCATAATCAATCAAGTTATTAGCCATTCCCAGCATGGTTTTTTATCAGATTGCTCTTGTGAAACATGTCATTTGTCGTTTCTCAATCTACTTACTTCTCTTCATAATGACCATCTATCTGTTGTCGTTATTTATTTTGACCTTAGTAAAGCCTTTGATAAAGTACCACATAAAAGACTCTTGGTTAAATTAGAAGCTATGGGAATTCGCAGTCCCCTAATAGACGTTATCAAGTCATCCCTGTCTAATCGTAAATAAAAGGTTTTAGTGGGATCTTCACATTCCAGTGAAAGCCCTATTGTAAGTAGTGTCCTACAAGGCACCGTTTTAGGTCCTCTTTTGTTCTTGCTTTACATAAATGATATTTCGGCGGCAGTTAAATATTTTCAATAATTTACTTATAGATAGATAATTTTTATTAAAGACCCGTCGGGGTCCCATCAAAGCAAGTTAAAATAAATTTGCATACGAGTTTTAGACGAGGTAGGCTGAATCTTTACAAAATGCAATTCATAGTTTCTGAATTAGAAGTCCATTGAGAAACATGATGATTGAGGGGTGAAAAAAACTCCTCGGAAGAAGTTAAAAATGATTGGATTAATTTTACAGGAGAAAAAAACCCCTCCATAAAAATAATAACAGAAAAAAAGCGAGCAGGACTGGCCTGTAGGTGGCGGTATATAACGGAATGTTTTCGGTCATCGTCAGGTTATCAATAAATGTCCGCCTTGATGGGTACGAATGTGGGTCAGACAGGACTGGCTTGCAAATGGCATTGTATACGGGATTCACAACTGAGCTCGTCTGGGCCGGATTGGTACGCCGCGTCAAAGAGGCCAGACGAGAGGAATCGAGATGCGATCGGTCACCGCACGCTTCGAGCTCAGCCGAGCAGTGAGGAAGGGAGGTACGACCGAACTACTAGTAGACAGTGAATACGGAGGGTTCCGCCGTTAGCGTCGACAGACCGCATGAGGTCGGAATGCGGGAGATGACATCAAAAACCGCAAAAATTGTCGCTGTGGGGGGGAGTGATAGCAGTGGATTTAGAAACCAATTCAAAACAGGGGTTTCTAATGATATAATTAAGAGTTACCACTTAATCTACCACTAACTCCCAGGAGGACCCTTCTCGAAGTCAAGAACCTGAGTGTTCGGGAATGAGACCGTTAACAGTGCCTTTATGCTTTCCGGTGTAAGATGGTTGCGTAATTTCGACTTGAATATCAGTAACCTAGGCGATAATCTAATTTCAGGCGGAAGATTATTCCAAAGGAAGGCATATTTGGAAGCAAAGAAGAGGGAGCGCTTAGATGTAGTACAAAGAGGCGGCGGAATCACCATGCAGGAGTTACGCGTGGCATAAGACCGATCCCTCGGAGTGAGAGTGTCAATGGGCGGAGGACTGGAGCTAGAGTTGATGTGAAAAAGGAAGCAAAGGCCAGCTTCGAGTCTTCTAACCCACAAAAACTTCATGTTCGCCAGTTGACATCTCTGAGTATAAGAAATACTGGTCGAAGCTTGAGAGAACAGTTTCCGGGTGAAAACCCTCTGAACATTTTCGATTTTATTACGGTCGCAGGCGTTCATTAAACCGAAGAAAGGACAGCAATATTCGAGGACTGGAAGAACAAACATTTGATAAAGTCTTAGTTTCATTTCCGGAAGGAAGAAATTATGCGATATGAATCCACATATCTGCGCGGCTTTGGCAGAGATTCTATCTGCATGAGGTGATAAATCAAGTTTATTTGTATAACTTAGACCTAGGTCCTTTATGGTGAGGCATTCTGAGAGTGGGTTATTCTGAAAAATTATGGGACCAGGAAGTTTGGTAGGACCAAAAGACATGAAACTACACTTGGATGATGAAAACTCCATCTGCCATGTCGAACCCCATCTGCTATATGTGTTTCGGACCTGAGAGTCTACCTCAACCAGTGGTCTTTCAAGGTTCACCTATGACTGAATGTACTAACATCAAGGGTTTATGCTTAAACTGCGCAAATAATCTTGATCTCTCGTCACAATCTGACAGAATTACAGCCAAAGTTGCCAGATATAGAATTTTATTTCTTACATTTTCTGTCTTCCTAAAATAAAATTAAGACTCTATCGTATGTTTGTACTTCCCATTCTCGAGTACTGTTGCCCATTCTTTGGTCTGATTAACGAGGCCAGTCGTTTAAAAATTGAAAATGTCCAAAGACGTTTTTCTAAAAGACTTTTAGATAGGGAACATCCCAATATCTTCTTCTCAGATAGAGGCAGGCTAATTCACCTAAACTTTTTATGCGTTCAAAGACTAGAAGCAGGCTTCTGTCTCCTCTTTCGCATTAATAATAATCCATATCTTCCTCGGATTTCTGCACTTACCCCTAGTAGTCGCCGATAAATCTTCGCAACTCCTCCTTAGTTATACCTCCTCCAGCTTCCTCCGCCTCTATGCGCTCTCTTTTTTTCGCCTCCAGATATTCTTTCCTCTGAAATAACCTTTCAATAAATATAAGATCTTCGGATAATCTACACACATTTAAGAGGAGGCTACGCCTTTAGCTAAATACCGACTCGATTAAACTTTTATTTTCGTCATCCTTCCCGGACAACTTTCTCTATGACACTGAGAAAGGGCCATCGGGAATTTAGGAAGCCGCCATTAAATTTCCGTATCTGCTCATATTTCCTTCCTTTGTGAACCGTATCGCTTCCTAAGATCCCTCACCGTAAATGTTAATTTTTCCAGTTTTTCAGTTCATGCATCGTGTCCTCACAGAATGCGCCCTATGGACGCCCTTGGTGATGCCTTCTGTATTCGCCATATACTAGTAGTCTGGTCGCATCTCATTTGCCCTTTTTTCTGATGGACTCGGATGAGGACCTTGCTTCCTTTCATGGTCTGCTAAATCATTTACTGCCGGCAGACATGGAAATAAAGGTTCTGAAAGCATTCTGGATAGGAAAAAGGAGTGAAGACAGGACAGTAGCACAACCACCTCGCCCTCTCAAAATTATGCTGGAGAACAAAGAGCAAATCAAGTTTATCCTCTCTAAAAAAACCGATCTCAGAAACACACACAAACAGGTTTTTTTTTCAACCGGACTATTCACCAGCGGAACCGTTGAAACGCCGGGAACTTGTCTTGGAGTTAAAATCAAGACTGAAGGATGGCGAACACAATCTGGCTATCTTCAAAGGGAAGGTAGTTCGGAAATATATGCCGTTTCAGTGGAACCAGCCTGTAATACTACGAAAGACGACAGCTACTCAGCTAAAACAGACACCTTCGTTGAACCACCTGATCAAGGCGCCAACACAAGTGAGCCCGTAGCGTCCAGTGATCTGACTGAAACAAGGCATGTAAATGGAACCAATCAGGTAACGGAAGAGCCTACAGAACACGACGTCCGCGATAACGGAGTAATGCTCACAGCAGTAACAAATGCAACGGGAAATTCGGCTGGTGCTAAACTGAGGTGCTTGTACACGAATGCCCAAAGCCTCCTATCGAAACTAGACGAACTAAAACTTTGCCTTGTTGAGCTGTCTCCAGATGTTTTAGCAGTAACTGAGACCTGGCTGTCCGGGACTATTAGCGATAACGAAGTAGCCTTGCCTGGAAACCAAATTTATCGGAGGGACAGGGAACATCGTCAGGGTGGTGGTATCGTTGTGTATGTGAATGACGGTCTGGCAGTGCCGGATAACACCACCAAGTTTGTGTGCAGTACGGAAGCTATCTGGTTGACGATCAAGGCTACCGGTTCCCCGTGTCTCGATGTCCTCACTGTCTACCGACCACCTCGAACAGACCGAATCACCGACACTCAACTATTGGAGCAGTTGGAGAAATTTTCCAGTCGACCTAACATCATGATCATGGACGACTTCAACGCACCAGGAACAAACTGGAATACCCTCCAAGCGTCAGGTCCAAAATCGGCATTCGATTACCGCCTGTTGAGCAAGACATTAAATGCGTGCCTCACACAACATGTAACGTCCCCAACGAGAACACGTGAAGGACAAAGGGCAAACTGCCTGGATCTGGTCTTTACGAAAACACCAGACAGCATAGACGAGATCGCCTCCATGCCGCCCCTTGGCCGAAGTGACCACGTAGTGCTTATGTGGGATTATTCGTTATTCTCCATTTCACACACTCCAGGCCACAAAAGGCGTAATGTTTGGCGGGGCGATTTCAATCGGATGAGGGCAGACTTATCCGGTCTTGACTGGGGCTCTTTGTTTACGGGAAGTGCCAACGATGACTGGGAGCTGTTCAAGAATGTCCTTCTGCAGCTCATCAACAACCACTGCCCACTGACTAGTGTAAGACTGAACAAACGCCCTGGGTCGCTAAATAGCAACCTGAAGAAAGAAATCAACAGGAAGCACAAATTGTGGAGAAAATACTGCGTCACTAGACAAGCTGAATGCTTCAACACCTACAAGACACAGAGGAACAAACTGAGGAAGCTGATAATTCAGACGCGGCGGGAATTCGAGAAAAACTTGCTACAAAAAGCAACGCAGAACCCAAAATTGCTCTACAGCTACCTCCGACGAAGTACAAGGAACAGGCATCAAATCCTCTTGATAAAGACTACTGATGGCGTTGAGATCGCTGATAGTAGGGATAAAGCTGCGTATTTTTCACGGTTTTTCCAATCAGTCTATACAAACGAGGCAAGGTTCCTTCCTCCCTCCACAGAAGAACTGCCGACTCCAAGCGTCAGTGATATACTCTTCTCAGAAGGCATTGTCCGAAGAGAATTAGAGGCATTGAACGAATCGAAGTCGCCAGGACCAGACGAGATTCCATCCAAGCTTCTGGGGGAACTTGCCCATGAGCTCTCTGTGCCTTTGGCGATGCTCTTTCAAACGTCATTTGACACTGGAACACTTCCTGTCGATTGGAAGCTGGCGCATTTTACTCCGCTACACAAAGGAGGTAACAGGGCAGCGACGACAAATTACCGGCCCATAAGCTTGACATGCATTCTCTGCAAAGTTATGGAAAGGATCATCAAGTGTGAACTAATGCAATTCCTGGAAGTTCACGGCCTGCTATCGAAATGCCAACATGGGTTCCGAAAAGGAAGATCCTGCACGACAAACCTGCTGCAATCTCTCCAGAGCTGGACCCAAGCTCTCGACGACAGGCACGCGGTCCACATAGCCTTCATCGACTTCCAGAAGGCTTTCGACACTGTGCCACACCAAAGGCTCTTACATAAGCTGAAAAAAATAGGGATCGGTGGCAACTTCCTTAAATGGATCGAAAACTTCCTTGTGGGTCGACACCAGGTTGTGTGCGTCGGTCGGGGAAAATCAGATCCGGCTATGGTCGAAAGTGGTGTCCCCAGGGTTCAGTACTGGGACCCATTTTGTTCCTTATCTACGTGGACGATGCCGCAAGAGATTTAGACTGTGAAGTAGCAATGTTTGCGGACGACATGAAGATATGGAGTGTAATTCGTGGTCCTGCCGATGAAGACAGACTGCAGATGAACCTGAATCGGTTGGAGGAGTGGTCAAACCGTTGGCTCCCGAGGTTCAATGTTGCCAAATGTAGCATACTTCGCCTAGGCAACACAGCCAGATCCGCCAGCACAAGAGGCTACTTTCTGGGCGGTGCAGCCCTACAAGAGGTCGAAGCCCAAAAGGACCTCGGTGTGCTTACGACGAGTTCCCTAAAACCATCCGCCCACTGTTCGAGGGTGGCAAAAACCGCAATGTCCGTACTGTACGCCATCAAGCGTGCGTTTATGGACTTTGACAAAGAAGCCTTCTCTAAGACATTCGGAACATTCGTCCGGCCGCATTTAGAGTACGGCATACAAGCTTGGAGGCCGTGGGGTGTTGTGGATCAAAACTGCCTCGAAAGAGTCCAGAGGAGAGCCACGAAGATGGTCAGGGGTCAAAGCTCCTTTACTTATGCGACCCGCCTAGTAAATCTGAACCTCTTTCCTTTGAGTTACAGGCAACTTCGCGGAGATCTCTTGCAAGCCTTCCGCATTGTAAAGGGGTTGGATTGCAGTCTGGCCTTCGAGGACTTTTTTGAATTTGCTACCACGACCAACCTCCGAGGTCACCCGTTAAAACTGCGCACTCAGCAGGCACGGCTGGATGTGCGGAAGTTCTCCTTCTCGGTTCGGGTGGTCAAACCGTGGAATGAGCTTCCCGCAGATGTTGTGATGTCACCATCTTTACAAAGTTTTAAGAAGAATCTGGACATATTTATGTTCCGAAATGACCAAGAGCGATGAGAAGTCGAGCTCACCCCCTGTAACTCCTTCTCATTTTGTCCCACCATTATGGGCGTGTTCGAACTATTTCAGCCCAGAACATCTATCTGTACGACACACATCTTTTACGTTGCAAATAGGGTACTCAAAGGCTTACGCCTATTTCCCTCAATAAACTGAACTGAACTGAACTGAACTGAAAGTAATCGATCGCATCTGGGTTTCTATCGCCTCGAAACTAGTTTTCAATTCGCCACTTATTTGCCTCATTCAAGGCCACATACAGGCCAGTCCCGCCTTACCCGCCTACTTACCCCTTCATGAAATCCATTATGCAATGCCATATACAGCGACGAATTTTAACGGTTCATGATGTCATCTCCCGCATTTCGACCTCATGCGGTCTGTCGGCGCTCACGGCGGAACCCTCAGTATTCGCCGTCTACTAGTAGTTTGTTCGTACCTCCCTTCCCCACTCCTCGGCTGGGCTCGAAGTGTACTGTGGCCGATCGCATCTGTGTTCCTCTCGTCTGGCCTTTTTTACGCGAATAGTCTCATCTGGCATATCAGTCCTGCCCCGACGATGTCAATAGTGAATCCCGTATACAATAGCACATGCATGCCAGTCCTGTCCGGCCCGCATACGTACCTCTCAAGGCTGACATTTATCCCTGCCCAGACGATGTTCGATTTTAATCAAGGCTGACATTTATTTCTGCTTTGGCGATGTTCGATTGTAATCCGTTATATACCGCCACACACAGGCCAGCACTGCCCGCATTGTTCTGTTATTACTTTTTAGCGAGCGGTTTTTTTCTCCTCTAGAATTAATCCAATCATTTTTAAATTTTTATGTGGAGTTTGTTTTCACCTCTCGCTAATTATTTTTCTTAACGGACTACTAATTCAGAAACTATGGATTGCATGTTGTACAGTTTTGTCTACCTCGTCTAAAATTTGCATGTAAATTTATTGTTACTTGCTTTACTGGGTCCTCGACGGGTCTATAAAAAATTACTATTATTTTCACTGCTGGTCGGATTTGTGTTTAATCGCTTCCCTTGACAATGCCTGTAAACTGGCATTAAATAAAAATTTATTTATTTATTTATTTATTATTAAGTAGCCGATACTCTTCCCAATGTTGAAGCAATAACATAAAAGTGGCTGTCAGAGGACGTAGGTGATTGCGAGGTAGCACAAACAGGATACCAATTGTTTAGGAGAGATAGGAGAGGCCGCCGGGGTGGAGGAGTCGCCATGTATGTAAAGAGCAACGACAAGATTTCTGACGATACAGAGGCAATTTGGCTGACTATAAAGGCACGGGGGTCTCAGTCCCTCGAAGACGTAACTATCTACCGGCCCCCTCAGGCGGATCGCGACCCAGATAATCGTCTATTTAAAAAGCATAAAAGAGATCGCTGGTCGACCAGACGTTGTTCTCATGGGGGATTTTAATGCACCCTGCATTCAATAGAGCGATATGCATGCGAAGTTCTCGAAGAATGCCATCGATTTTTCATCTTTTCCAGCTCTTCGTCCAGACAATTATGGCAAGACTCCTGGAAAACACGAAGGAAATGTGCGACCGCCCCTTTGCAGCTGGCCAGATAGACTGAAAACCACCAATTAGAAAACACCCAAATTTAACCAACTAGAAAATAATTTCAAGGTCATGCCGATAGCAAAGTTCTTCAATTTCCATAAGGACTTATAATTCATGCCCCCAGAAACTACCAAAATGCACTCTTCAATTTTTATATTGTACATATCGTTCCTTTTTAAAAACTTTTGTTATTATTTCGCCTTAGAACTCAGGTTTTTTAACTTAAAACAAACTCTCAATTCGCGCTCTTTTGGCTAAGCACCCAAAACCAATGAAGTCAAAGGGCAGTCGAAATGGCTGAGTTCGTTTTAGGTTTTTTTCCTGAGTTCATAGGAGACTGACAGTGCCCAAGGGGCGCTATAATAAACCTATTCTATTCTACTACCGTCTTCTAAAGACAACCCTAGAAGCTCTTCTCAGGCAACCTGTTTTATTTCTAAATACAGCACGCGGAGGGCAACAGGCAAGTTGTCTGGACCTCGTCTTCACCAAAGATCCTGACAGTGTAGGCGAGGTGTACTACCGACCCGTCCCCCGTACCCCCTGGTCGAAGTCATCATGCAGTACTTTTATGGGAATACAAGCTGTATTCTGAACCGAATACAAAAGACGATACGAGGCCGAAAATATGGAAAGGGAACTTTTTCCAAGTAAGAGCTGATTCATTACAAATAGACTAGGATATTTTCTTCTCGGAAACGTTAGCGAGGACTGGAATTTATTCAAGGATCGGTTGTTGCATCTGATAAGAGCCACTGTCCCTTATCAAAGCCTAGGACATCCAACCGCGGTTTTTGATGTCATCTCCCGCATTCCGACCTCATGCGGTCTGTCGACGCTCACGGTGGAACCCTCAGTATTCACTGTCTTCTAGTAGTTCGGTCGTACCTCCCTTCCTCACTGCTCGGCTGAGCTCGAAGCGTGCTGTGGCCGATCGCATCTCGGTTCCTCTCGTCTGGCCTCTTTGACGCGGCGTACCAATCCGGCCCAGACGATCTCAATTGTGAATCCCGTATACAATGCCATTTGCAAGCCAGTCCTGTCTGACCCACATTCGTACCCAACAAGGCGGACATTTATTGATACCCTGACGATGACCGAAAACATTCCGTTATATACCGCCATCTACAGGCCAGTCCTGCTCGCTTTTTTTCTGTTATTATTTTTAAAGAGGGGTTTTTTCTCCTGTAAAATTAATCCAATCATTTTTAACTTTTTCTTAGGAGTTTTTTTCACCCCTCAATCTTCATGTTTCTCAATGGACTTCTAAGTCAGAAACTATGAATTGCATTTTGTAAAGATTCAGCCTACCTCGTCTAAAACTCGTATGCAAATTTATTTTAACTTGCTTTGATGGGACCCCGACGGGTCTTTAATAAAAATTATCTATCTATCTATCTATCTATCTAGTGGCTAACACGGGAAATCAGAAAGGAGATCAACAAGAAAGGAATATCGTGGAAGAAATTTCGCGAAAACAACAAAATTGCAACGTTTACAGAATATAAGGTTCAAAAAAATAAGGTGAAAAGCTTGATGTTCAGGAGGCGACGGGACATATTATTCATGCCCCCGAAAACTACCAAACTGCAAACCTCAATTTTTATATTGTACATATCGTTATTTTTTGAACATTTTGTTATCATTTTCCCTTAGCACTGAGGTTTTTTTTAACTAAAGACAAACTCTCAATTCGCGCTCTTTTGGCTAACCAGACACCCGAAACAAATGAAGTCAAAGTGCAGTTGAAATTGACGAGTTTGTTTTAGGTTTTTTTCCTGAGTTCAAAGGGGACTGACAGTGCCCAAGGGGCGCTACAATAAACCTATTCTATTCTATTTCGAGAGTAATTTGCTTCATCGAGCCGTTCAAAATCCGAAATTGATCTACAGCTATTTGCGGAAGAGCACACGTAACAGGAATTCCATTCCTGTCTTGAGGAATGATGACGGTTTGGAGATATCGGACAGTACAGATAAAGCTGAGCATTTTTCTCAATTTTTCCAATCCGCTTCGACAACAGAAGCAGACTTTATTCCAACTAATTCCGAAAACATGGGAGATCCCACTATCGAAGATATCGTGTTTCGAGAAGAAACGATTTTGGAAGAACTAAAAAGCATGAAGGAGTTTAAATCTCCCGGTCCGGACGAGATCCCGGCAAAGTTGCTTTTCGAGCTTGCCCGAGAGCTGGCCAAACCACTATCCTTTCTGTGCCAGGAATCGTTTAATGCTGGAATCCTTCCCACAGACTGTAAGACGGCGCACATTACACCACTTCACAAAAGCGGTAGTCGTGCTCTTGCAACAAACTACAGACCCGTCAGTCTGACATCAATCTGCTGCAAAGTGATGGAGAAAACCATAAAAAAAGGACTTGATGGCTTATCTGGAAAGCCACAACCTCTTGCCCAATGCACAACATGGTTTCCGTAGGGGAAGATCATGTATAACGAACTTGCTATATACAATGCAAAGTTGGGCAAGAGCACTGGACGCAAAACACACTGTGCATGTAGCCTATATTGATTTCCGGAAGGCGTTCGACAGTGTTCCGCATCAGCGTCTCCTACACAAGTTGAGAATAATGGGCATCGGCGGCCAACTTCTCAAATGGATCGAGAATTTCCTTGTCGGCCGCTCCCAAATTGTCTGCGTCAAAAGACAGCAATCAAGGCGCACATTCATAGAGAGTGGAGTCCCACAAGGCTCAGTGCTCGGACCAACCCTCTTTCTCTTGTTCATCAACGGTTGTGTAGATGGGTTGGACTGTGATTGTGCCATGTTTGCAGATGACATAAAAATCTGGAATGTCATCTAGAATGCTGCCGATGAGACCGACTTCAAAGAAAATCTTTGTCGATTGAACGAGTGGTCCCGCGGATGGCTCTTGTCCGTCAATTTGAACAAATGTACCATACTGCGCCTCGGAAATCAGACCCGTAGTACGCGGCAATACCATCTGAACGGAATACCACTTCGAGATGCAGAAACGCAAAAAGATCTCTGAGTCTATGTTGTAGACAGCCTAAAGCCTTCTACACAATGTTTTGAGGCGGCCAATGCCGCAACTTTAATGCTATATGCCATCAAGCGGGCACTCGCAGTTTTCGATTAAGACTGCTTCTCCAAAGTCTTCGGCACGTTTGTAATGTCGCACCTCGAATATGCAATTCAGGCCTGGAGACCGTGGACGCAGCAGGATTACAATATGCTTGAAAGGGTGCAGAGGCGAGCAACAAAATTAATAAGAGTTCAGAGTGCACTGCCATACGAGATCCGCTTAACTAACCTTAATCTGTATTCTCTGATTTATAGGCGGTTGCGCGGAGACTTGATACAAACTTTACGTATCGTGCGTGGCTTGGACTGCGCCCTTCGGTGCGATGACTTTTTCCAACTCGCCATAACAACTTACCTCCGGGGACATCCCTTCAAGCTACGTGTGCCCCAGGGTAGATTCAATGTGAGGAAGTATTTATTCTCCAACCGTGTTGTGGAACCGAGACATTTGTCATGTCTCAATCTGTGGAAACATTTAAATGTCGGCTTGACAGACATATGCTGCAGCAACAAGCGGACTATTTGACTTTTTAGCCATGATACCAGTGACATATGTGAATCAATGTCTTCATTCAATTAATGCTGTAATTTCTTCACATTTTGATTATTTATCGATTTTTATGTACAAATAGGGAGTTCAAAGGCGTAAGCCTATTGCCCTCAAATACACGGAGTGACTGACTGACCCCTTACCCTACCCCAACCCCTAAGCAAGAGAATTCGGAGGTTGGAAGGAAACGACAAACGTCAAGTAAACGTAATTACACCTACTCAAAGTAAGTCATTAGGTCAACATTATTATTCTCCGTGTACATGACTGCACAATAAGACCTTACCAAAAGTTTCATTAGTCTTTAAAAATCGATTATCTCTGGTTTGCCTTCGCTGAGGCGCGGGAAGATTCGCTGGAACACATTTGAGGGTACTCTGGCAGTTTAAAACGAGCGTACTCGCAGCTACAAAGCCAAGGCCACAAGGAGCGGGAACGAAAGAGGAATAAGGCACCTCCTCGCACATTTCTTGGGTGGTGTGGCCATATATGGGTGTCGTATCGAATGCCAACCCGTAGCCACGCCAGGGGGCAACGTCTGACCCTGTCATAGCTCCGTCTGGCGCAGCGGCAAGGCAAGATCCCACGAGGCCGGTGCCGGTCGGTTACGGGAAGGACAATGGGGTCATTTTATCGTTAACTTTTGGTTAAGAGTACGGTCAAACGTAAGGCTTAGGATTAGTTTTACAGTTAAATCCAAGTTTGGGGTTATCACTGAATGATATTTATTGTTGGAGATCGGTTCAGTCCAGTTTATTTTAGTTTATTGAGCGGACATAAATATGTCTAGGCCTCTGTTAAAGCTCTCTATCGATGGCGACATCGAAACATTTACGGGCACGGCATTCTATGGTTTGATCACCCTCACAGAGAAGGAAAACTTCCGGACACCCAGTCTTGCCCGCTGAATGCGAAGTTTATAGTAATGACCTTGAAGGTTGGTCGTGCTAGTGAATTTAGAAAATTCCCGAAAGACCGGGCTGCCGTCCAATCCCTTCACAAGGCTGAATGCCTACAAGAGATCCCCGCGCAGTTGCCTATAACTCAAAGCAAGGAGGTTCAGATTTCTTTGACTGGTTGCATAAAGGAATGAGCTCCCACCCCTAGCAACTTTCTTGACCTTCCTTTGCACTTTTCCATGAATATGTTGCTCTTAAACCACCCATGGTCTCCAGCCTTACGTGCCGTTGTGGCGGACAGATATGGAGGAGTTTGGCTCTTTTGTCTTTTTAGATGATAGCTGCCGATAGCATAGTTTTGCGTAAGCATGTTTTCCTTTCCTCTTTCCAGTCAAGGCGCGTGAAGAATCTGATTCCACCTCCTCGGCAGCAGCCCTAACCTCACCCTCTCTGGACAGCCGTGCGGACAATGACGTGTTGATCCAACTGATTCCCCTTATTCTGCATGTGTGAGAGTGACTCTAGCTCTCGCAACAAGCACCTGTCATTCGGTTTAGGATCAGGTTTGGGTTTAAAGTTTTGTACAGAGTTTGGGTTGCGAATACATTTAGTATTGGTGTCAGATGCAGGGTTAGGTGAAGGCTGATGGTTAAGCTTGCCTGTAGGCTTAGGAATGGTGTTAGGGTTTGCTTTACGGTAAGGTTTAAGGTTTACTTTATATTAGGTCTACAGCCAGGTTTTGGTTGGAGATGTGTTATAGAGTTAGGGTTGGGATTGGCTTTAGTTTTTGGGGTTTGGTGCAATGTCGGCTTTACGATCATGCTTAGAATAAGGTTTGGAGTTAACGTCTGACTTGCGGCTAGGGGGTGAATGAGGCCATTGTTCAACTGCCTCACTCAAGAGCATTGCACGCACAGCATAATAGAAAGCGCAGAAACTATGATTTAGAAACCGTGGACTGGGCATAATGTCCACACTGCTTGCATTCCGACTTGCATATTAGATAAACGAAAATTTTTGTTTAATCTCATATCCCATGTTTGTTCGTCGCACACTAAAAAATCACTGCAGCGACGCCCGCCCAGCGCGGTCTGAATCGCTTATTGGTTCCCTTTCTGTCAGGGCCGCCGGGTTTCTCTGTTACGTCCTTGATCCTACTGAGGGCTAAACCAGAAGACGAATGAAGGCGGTTTGTGAAAAAATAATGGGACCTGCGCACAGTCCTTGCTAATGACCTTATGTACATACGTAGAGTCGCAGGAGTTCTAGCTCGACAGCAAAGGCAGCAAACAAAAGAAAGCCGGAATTGGGGAGGCGTATCTCATTCCCTGGTTAATTTTCAGGCGTATTTGTGGTATCTCAGGCGTCGAGTCACTTCAAAGACTCAGCGTTGTAATTGGTTGGAATGTAGCGGCCGAGGACGTCGATAATAGCACACACCGGGGTAGAGGAGCACTGGGAAGAGATCCTGGCTAAGATGGATCTGAATAGAGCTGTCGTTATGTAGCAATACTCACCAATACGAAAGGGGAGAAGAAAAGTTAGGTAGGCAGAGAGGCATAGTGGGAAGTGACGGAAACGGGGAACACATACGATAGTAGTTAATTTTTCAAACGGGACGACTTACAACAAGGGAGAAACCCGTCTGGATGATGAGGCGCCACTGATATGCCCGCTTAATAACCGGGGGGAAACGCAGTGCTGTGGGCAGCTGTAGGAGACGCTGGAGGGAGGTACCACCGAAGAGAGAGATAAAGAGAGAGAGAGCGTGCGGTACGAGTGTTACGGTAAGTTACGGGAAGAGGATCGGCGATAGAGCGTGAAGGATACCGACCGTTTTCACCGACACGCAGTTACACCATCACTATCCTATGTCTGCGCCCCAAAATGTCTCTTCATTAAAACAACCTTACGTAGATCATGGACGCTTCGGTTTCATGCAGCGGTTCGAAAGGGTGTGGGCTCGAATCCCACCGCTGCCACAAATGTAGGTTCCGAACGGGGTAAGGCATTACGATACTTATCTTCACTAGAGATTGGGAAAGTCGACTGAGTTTCGCCACGGGTGTTGCCAGTGTATCCTCTCCTAAAAGGCGGGTTTGTTCGTAACATAAGTCAGCGGGGGATCTGTGGGGATCGGACATGACGAATCAGGGCAAAATAATAATCATGGAAATATTTATCGTCGAACATATGAAAGGAGTACAACATGTTATCGATCCCGAAACAGAATAGAGAGCGTGACGATAGGCACTATAGAGATACACAAAAAGGCACGAGAAAACCAGTACTAAGCTAAACTACGATAATAAGCTAGAAAAAAGTGTACCAAGTGGTATTAAAAACGAGAGGTTCGATGGATATTAAATGGTCATATGGATGACGGAACCTAAGGAGCGTGCGGCAAAGTCGTTACCGTCCTGCACGGGGGACGCGTAGTTCTGAAAATGGGCCGAAGAGAAAAACGCTGTTTAAAACAACTGTCTATTGCAGGGAGGCATTGTAAATAGTAGAATCGAACAAACTTGTATCTTCAGCTTTCCAATTAATTTGTATTTATAGCATGTTTTTGTGTGAAGTAATTCAATAAGAAACCCAAATTATAACAAACAAGGCACTACGTTTTAACTCACCAATGTGCATAGTCAATGTTGGTCTCGCAAACACCAGCCGTATAAATATTAATCACGATCCCACGTCCCCCCCCCCCCTTAGGTCTAGTGGTGCGTAGGTTATAGTTCGTTACGTCTCTATCGCACTCGGGCCACCCGTGCTTTGCAAGTCTGTACGATGGAGGAGGGTGACGGGATCCCACAGTCTTTTGAGTTTTTATTGTACGAATCCATTAAGTACTTCTCCAAACAAACAGAAAATGTAAGAAATGAGTTTTTAATTGTAGCTTTTCGATGGGCATGTTACCTGCGCGCGTCTGATTGAAAATTTGGCGTATCGAGTGAGCCAGCAGCTAATAGAAAAGTCTTGCTCCTTTTAATCACTATTGTTGTTAGAATGACTAAAAACCTTGCGAAATTTCAATCAGAATTGGACATAGTCAAGTACATTTGTAAAGACTTTTGGACCTACATATTTCGAAAGCCGATCTCTTCCCTAAAAACGAACAATCAAGTAGACCGTCCCATAGTGGAGACATCTTTTAGGAGTTGTATGTTTTAACCGACTCCGCATTCTTCTTTCTAAATCGCGTGGACCCAAGTCTGCAGTATAGTCCTCTAGTCGAAATGGTAATTATTCGTCGACTCTGACTCATGCGGTTTTAGCTCCTAGCCTTCCCATGCGGACTTCTTCGTGGGGCTTTAACGGCTTTGGGTGTCAAATGTATCGTGAAGGCGGAAATACCGCAATTACCGATCTGTGAGTTCCAAGTTTCACGCCGAACATCGTAGGTCAATTTAACATCTCTGTCCTCCCAAGGCTTAAATCTGCAGAAGGCTGATTCTCCTATCAACGCAACCGTTGTCCCAATTCGAGTTGGCTGGATGCGAAGCCTTTTTCTAGACCTTTTGCTCTGGAAGAGCGCTTTATGCCTGCCGTGTGATACAATTTTGAATACTCGGATTTATTTGAATATATTTCTTCCCATCCAGATTTGCGATTTTCTTCTGCCATGCGTTAATTTTCAGTCAACCATAACTCACACTACTTGGTACTGGTTTTCGATGTTTTCGACACTTCATGATTTAGTTTATTTATTCTTCGCTTGCAGGAGCTTCACTTTTGACCCATCTACCGTGTCCGGCTTAATTTGCCTGTCGTCAGTCGAACGCACGATATGACTTTTCTGGCCTGTTGGATTGCGCTTGTCAAGAAATAGGACGCCATGTAATGCTCTACAGACATGTACGGCCGCTTTGCCAATAACTTTACCCGGTACTGTAACGAAGCAAAGACATTGTAAGGGGCACTGCACAGTGTATTCCACGGTCGCAGTACAAACTTGCGCACGCACAGATGGTCCACTGACTGGGTCCATCAGGTTGGCAGTAAGCCCGTCATTAAACTGAAGTACATCAGTGGCTCGTCACCTGGCGTCCTCTGTGACCGCAGGAGTGGCTTCCCGGAGCAAACACTGTCCGAATGGGTGTCAAGGTGCGAACAGGCAACCACAGGTACGGACTCAACCTATGGTACGGACTCAAGCTATGATGGTAATGGGTGAGGGAGGAGAGCAGAAATGCGAATAACCTGATACGCAACGATTTCGGGCCTACTCGGCATTCATGTAACTAGTTTATGATTCAAAAGAAGAAGAAGATGCAATCTCTGCAGCAAGAGGTTTATTGACCTAACGTTTTGGGTTCTCACTCGGACCCGTCATCAGAGACATTTGCAGATAATGGTCTGCGTCCTTGTCGTTACTCCATCTGCCAGCTCGCTCTGTTTGCTTTGTAGTTATTTCCATTCTGTCCAAGAGGTCCAAGTGCTCACGAATCCTGAGCACTTCACGTCACCTGCTATGTTGTTTGCAGGTAACAAGCTCCGCGGACGGTCGTGGCAAGCCTGTTGACCCTCTAAATTATTATTATCTCGTCCCTAATCTTTGTATTTCCACTACACTGTTGTTGTTTGCCCCCGTCGACCGTTTACATGTGCGCAAGCACGTATAGATAAGTTCCTCCTGGAGTTTGTCAAACGATTGATGATGATTATAGGCAGTATGTTATTACCGACAAAGACAAGGGAGACTGGAATGGCCATTTCTGACTTATTAGCCGTCGTCAGCCAATCATACGCAACCCCGAACTGTGGAACACCCGAGGTTCGAACTCGTGATCTGTTAGTTAGAAGTCCACGCCTCCAACCACTGGGACACGAGCCCGTTGGCCTGTCGGTTTCGGTCGGAAATATACAATAGTAGGGGCTCTCATCGATCGTTCTTGTGGAACTCACTCATTCCGTTGTGCCTTGCGAGCTCTCTCTCTCGAGCCCAACCAGCAGCCGCACAGCGGTGTATGATATAGGTAGTATGTATATTCCCGATCGAAACCGACATGGCAACGGGCTCGTGGTCCAGTGGTTAGAAGCGTGGACTTCTAACTAACAGGTCGCGAGTTCGAGGCTCGGGTGTTCCACACTTCGGGCTTGGGTATGGCTGGCTGACGACG